ACTGCGGGATGGCAGCCACAGAGGGACAAGCTTGTGCGCGGTGGGGGGTTGGGAAGACTGAGCTTCAGCAACTGGGGGGTTGGGCTGGGCCTCCCCGAAACAGCAGTAGAGAAAGAGGAACAGAGAGTGAAGCCTCCTGACTTTTAAACCGAACCCCACAATTCTCTGAGCCGCAGAATGGGCCTAATGCATCCCAGGTGAGACGGAAGTTTAAACGAAAGGATGATTTTTCAGAGAATGGAGACTATTCAACATTGAAGTTGAATGTGGTGGATGTCCTGCTCTGTTGAACTTTGTTTCTTTTCTTTCTTTTTCTTTTTTTAAGGGGCTTGAGTATACAGTATTATAGTTCAATTTAAGGATCAGACTACAGTTTTTATTTCCCTGAGGTTGTGCCGATTACCTTGTCCCCAGGGCACTCACATGCTTCCTGGGTGCTGTTGACGTTTTGGTCCTTCAAAATATCTTGGTTTTTGTCCTTTATGTTGATAGTTGTGATGGCGGTTTTTTGTTTGTTCTGTTTCCTTTTTGCTTAAAAAGAAAAAAGAAAAGTTTGGAAAATCTCTGGAGAAGCATTATTCTCTCCAATTTTAGTCCTAGTAGTAGGAATAACAATGTTTACTTCTCAAATACGGTCTGTTTTCTTCTCCAGATTTCTTTTTCTAATTTCTTATGAAATATTTGGACTTGAATTCGTTTTCATAAAAGTAAAAAAAAAAAGTCATCAGAGAACGGGGGTAGGAAATATTGGGCCCATGTTCACGTTATATTAAACGATGTCGCCACTCCAGCTCCCCAGACATTAAATGATCCCTTCCCATCCTTTAGAAATCACACTCCTGTCTCTTTAAAGAACTGACAGCGAGCAGGGGGCGGGCCTCCCGAGTGACGAAGGCTCTGATTGGTCCCTCTGGGAGGAAGCGCGCGGGGACAGCGCCGTTTCTGTTACGGTCCGCAGGCCGCGGGGTGAGAGGCCGGGGCGGGGCGGGGCTGCTGGACGCGGGG